TATATATATATATATATATATATATATATATATATATATATACCAAGTGTTACATTTACTAACCTGTCAATGATGCCACACATGTCAATCTGCAGGTGGCTGTAGTTTCCCAGCAGTCTTTGCTGCACTTTGATCAGGTCAACAGGTTGGTTGTTTAGAGTCAAGAGCCGCATGCATCCCAGAAACACCTCCGATGGGTTTCTGCACTCCACACTTTGAGCAGGACAACCTGAGGACAGAAACTCCATCAATAGCTGTATCCTTCTATTATGTGTTTAAATGAACTATATAACAAACAGAATTATTTTTAAAAGAAACATTTTCATTTTTCGCAGAAACAAAAAGCAGAGCCAAACTTTTTTATGGCAAATTCATAAAATGGTGGAGTAAGTGGTCTAGGTGGCTTGATGTGTGTCAAACGTACAGAAGCTAAAAATGCATTTAACCCCTGACCCAGATTTTTTTAATTGATTGATCAAGTTCTACTTTTTACAGTAATAAGGATCAACATATTATGTTCCATCTGTCAATATCACTCTTGTTTACCTTATTCTTAGATAATTAGAATCATAAAATGTTATGAACCAATACTCAGTTACATGCAGAACACATGTTGTCATATATGTATCTATCATAAACTATCCATCCATCCATTATCTTTACCCGTTTCTTCCATTTAGGGTCAGGGGGGTCGCCGGTGCCCATGTCCAGCAATCACTGTGCGAGGGGCGGGGGACACCGGTCTCCAGTCCATCACAGAGACACAGAGACAAATTAGACAAACAACTATTCGGTCTCTCACTCACACCTAGGGACAATTTAGAGTTACCAATCAGTCTAACGTGCATGTTTTTGGTCTGTGGGAGGAAACTGGGATACCAGGAGAAAACCCATGCATGCACGGAGAGAACATGCAAACTCCACCCAGAAAGATGCCCGGCCAGGATTTGAACCAGTGCGACCTGCTCGCTGAGAGGCGACAGCTCTACTAACTGCACCACCGTGCAGCCAGAAGCTTACAGTACCTCATATTCACAGGCGGTTTCCCATCCAAATAACAACACCCGAGCCTGCTTCACTTCTGAGATCAGACAAGATCGGACGAGGTCAGGGTGGTTTGACCGTAAACGGTTTTTCTAGATGATTTGTGAAATTGGTTAAAAAGGTTCAAGGCATCACCTGATAATATGAGGAAAAAATGGTTTGACATAAGATGAACAATGCTTTTTCTTGACCTTTATTCATTATAGTTTAAAAAAATAAACACAGAAAAAGCCAAAAACAGCAACTCTATCTATTAATATTTTAAAGTTAAGTCAAATTTAAATCAACCCTCACCTTTAAGATCAACAGTCAAGTGCAGCTACATCAATGCCCCATCATCTTAGAAATATGCATGGTTATATAATATAAAGAATAATTTTAATTATGTTTAACAAGGTTGTTTCAGAACATAAGCAGCATAAATTCCCTGTCAAACTGCACAAATAGAAAAAAAATTTAAATGTGAGGGTAATATTTGCTAAATCAATAAATCTATAGTTGAGAATTGTTAATTAAATTTATTTATATAGCGCCAAGTCACAACAGAAGTCACCTCAGGGCATTGAACAGAAACATTAATATATAAAATAATTGTTTAACATTATTTATCTGAGGAGCAGACTGCTTTGAGTTTAACTCCATCGCAGAACTCTCATCTTTAGCAAGCATGAAGGCGACAGTGGAAAGGAAAAACTCCCTCATGAGGTATAAACCTTTAGCAGAACCAGGCTCAGGACAAGCAGACATCTGCTTTGACCAGCTGGGTTTGAGAGGAACAGATACACATTGGCAGGTCAAGAATCACATGTTAAGATGGAAATAATATCAAATAAAAACTATTCAATTTTAACAATTCATTTAAGGAAATGAGGTCAATTTGACCTCTAGTAGTCTAAGCTTAATGCAGCATAACAAGCCAACCCTAACTATAGGATTTATCAAAATGGAAAGTCTTAAGCCCAGTCTTAAACTGGACAATGTGTCAGCCTCACGGACAGAAACTGGAAGTTGATTCCACAAGAGAGGAGCCTGATAATTGAAACATCGTTCTCCCAATCTAACTTTGGAAACTTTAGGAACCACAAGTAAGCCTGTAGACTGACAGCGAAGTGCTCTGTTAGGAAAATATGGAACAATAAGACCTCGACTATAAGATGGAGCTAGGATGTTGAGGGCTTTGTAGGTTAGAAGTAAGATTTTGAATTAAATTCTGGATTTGACAGGGAGCAAATGATATAGTAGTTATGACACAAAAAAATAGCTTAAATATTTATTCATAAAAAACAGTAGATATGCTTGCTAAAGTCAAATATATTTGACTTCATATCAGTCAAATAAACATCAATGCTGGAGCTTGAGATAAAATCTGAAGACAGATAGAAAATAACATTTTAACTGCAAATTTGTAAGAGCTGCAAGATGCAAAACACAATTTTTGCTAAGAACTGTTCATAAATAATTCCTGTTGTTGAGAAGTACACAGATGAGACCGCTGTAACCCTGGTGCTGAATGTTTTTAGCTAAGCTAAGACTGCCTGAAGCAAATTACAAACTTCAATTCAAATTCGAATTCCAGATAATGTTGTCTCATTAAAGCTCTCACACAGACAAATATGTTAATAATGTGTGAGACAGACGCATTGCTTGGTGGTGTTTTATTATTTGCCCTGCAGCATGACACAAAAACTGCAAGCAGAAATCAAAAGACGAGAGTTTGCAATTCTTCTTTGATGGAGGCAATTCATTTTAAACTACGAAACGACACCCCGCTGTTTGCACAAGAGGGGAAGTCATGAGAGCGCCGAAATCATTTAAATCTTGAGTGAATTATCTGCTTGAGCAAAATGCGTTGTGAATCAGCTGCTGTTTATTTAGCCCTTTTCACAAGATAAAAGAGTCCTTTTAAAAATTTCTTGAGAGAACATGATCAGTTCTTTTCCTTTCAACACATTCTCGTTTTGTTTGAGAAAGTATTCTCATCATACAATCACAGCTAAACTCATTCCTAGTTACTCTCAAGCGTTTTATTATTCCTTTTCTTTGTCTGAGTAAAAAAAAAAAAAAAAAACCTTCACAACATTTATTTTTGTTTGTTTTCTTTACATTATTCTTTGCTCCCAGCTCAGGCAGAGCGGATCTGGTACATAAAATGTTTTATCCATCAGAGATCCATGCTTTAGGTGGATCCTGAATGATGGCATCCAGTGGACAAATCAGCGTTTGTGCTGCAGGCTCTGCATCGCTCCAGTTACAGTTCAGCTTAGCCCAACAGAGGGGGAGGAAACAGATGACTCACTTCTTATTGTCACTTTGATTTTAAGAAGCTCACAAGAAGATGTTGTCACATTTTTCTTCAGGCAGTGACAAAAGAAGATTTTACCATTGGTTATCACACTGTTCATAATTAGTTAACTTTAGAAATTAAAGGCCCCTTTATCTAATGATGAAGTTTATATAGTTTCTATAAAAGCGTAAGCATTGATATTTGCATCACCCTATAACTGTATATTGTAAAAAAAAAAAGTAAGTTGTTTTATAAATACAAATGTATGACGGCCTACAAGAACTATTACATGAGTTGTCAGTGGCGTCACGTGCGCAGCAGCACGGCAGCACTGACAGGAGCTCCACTTTGACATGCTCTTTTTTTTTTTTGTTTGTTTGTTCCTGTTTTTGTTTAAACTTTTTTTGCACCTACACTGTACGCCCATTCTATGGGTACGACCGCAACGCACTTTTGGAGTTTTGTGTGTCGCTGCCTTGCCATCGTGCCATCAGGGTCCAGTTCCCGGTCCCCTTCCAGCCTCGGGATCCAGGCTCTGGCCTGTTTTGTCAGCTGTCTCCATGATCCTCCATCTGCACGAACTGAACTCTATGGAACAGTTTGATTCCGCAGGGATATTTTGGATGTTCTGTGTCTGGCAGACCTGGCCCTGGAGGGCAGTCATTGTCCATTGCCGCAATCATTATTACCATGCTGCTAATGGGACCGTGCTGCTGACAGGACCACACTCAACAGTACCATGGTGCTAACGGGACCATGTTGCTAAGAGAACCTCACTGCCAAAAGAACCACTCTGCTAAAAGGACCATGATGCTGTAGATGTATTTCTTTTTCACTTTTGGCGCCATGTTTTTGTATTTTTGTTGCATGCTTTGTTAGTTCTTGTTGGTTTTTTTTTGTTGTTGGAGCGAGTTGAGACGGTTCTTCTCATCCTGAGCATTTCATTGCATCGTTGATCATGTGCTGATCTGCATATGACAAATTAACCTACACCTATTGTTTAGAGTTGCTAAAATAATCTAATTAAAATGTAACCCCAGACCTAAAACCTCCTGCCATTTCACCTGCTGCTTACTATGGCTTATACCGTTATAACATGTTATAAATGCACTAAATCATTGCTTATAAATCAATTGCAGTGATGAAAATATGACGTTCTATGTTTAAAAATGTCTAATTTATGTTAATAATAATGTTTTTATGCCACAACACATTCAGTGGGTTTTGGTGCTAACATAACGCATTGCTAAACAAACAAAGCCTAAAATAAAACTAATGACAAAGCAATAACAGCAACAAGAGAGAACATGAATGTATTCTCGTTGTAGACCCTGTTATGGAAGTAAACCATCTCATTCACTTCAAGCAAACATAGCAGTTTCTTAGAAAGATTGGTAACACTATAATGCAAAATAAAGTGCCTGTATTTTATTGTTAATCTTTCTGTTGGAACAACTGCTCTAAAATGCAAATAGGAGCAAAGAGTACGACTGAAATAGTCTCAAACTCACACATTTGGTCACATTCTTTAATTCTTTTCACAAACATTCTGTGACATCAGTTTATTTCATTTCATAGATTTTTGTTGTTTATGTCAATGTTGGTCTTTGGTCATTTATTTGTTGTGGTCTCCATTTGGGCTGAGGGGTTCCTCCGCTGTGTCGGTCTTTGGTGTTACATTCGGACAATAGGAAAATTGTGCTGCATTTTCTCTTTTCCCATCACTGACAACAAATAAACTCAGTCCAGTCTGCTGCTGTACTGACAAAGGACTACGATGTTCACATGAAAAGTCTTCTTCACTCTGATCTTAGCTCCAACAGAGACTTTGGTTGGTTTAGCTCCTTGATCTCTTGTGGTTTGTGTTTCTTGTACTTTTGGCTTGTTGTAGAACCACGTTTTCTTTAACATTGTCAAACTTTACACTGTTCGGTGGAGGCAGGATAAACAGTTTTGTCCTCATTAGTCTTACTCTGGAAAGCTGGAACAGGGATTCACCACTTGTGGCATTAGGTGAAGCTGTGAAGCATTTCAGTAACTCCAGGCTTCCAGTGTCACTGTATAGCTATAAACAGCATTTTGATGTTTTAATAAAGCATTCCACACATTCCTTAACCTGAGAAAGGAAAACACTTGTTCTCTCATGAAACCTGCAAAAGCAGAAGATGTAAGCTGTGGTCCACTATCAGTTGTTGTGAGTGGCGCAGGGGTTTCCTTCACATGAAAAAACAGAAGATGGGATATTTCACAGGAGTATACAGAGGTGTGCAGAAAACAGGTGTGGTGGACAGTTTTGTGGAGTGGTGTGGACAGAAGAACCACCTGCAACTCAACGTTGGAAAACTAAAGAGCTGCAGGTGGACTACAGGGAGAAGACCCCCCACCCCCCAACCCTATCAACATCAAAGCTACTACGGTGGATACTGTGGACTGCTACAAGTACCTGGGGGTCCATCTAAACAATAAACTGGACTGGACAGCTAACACCAACGCCCTCAAGATAGGGCAGAGTCGCATTTTTCTTAGGTCTTTTAATGTCTGCAGGACCACGCTGCAGATGTTTTACTACTCTGTGATCTCCAGCATCTTCTTCTACACTGTGGTGTGCTGGGGCAGCAGGGTGAAGAAAGCTGATGCCAACAGACTCAATAAGCTCATCAGGGAGTGGAACTGCAATCTCTGACAGAGGTGTCTGAGCAGAGGACGCTGAAGAAACTGCTCCAGATCCTGAACAACACATCACACCCCCCTGCATGTCCCACTGGACCCTTACTGCAGCACCTTCAGTCCTAGACTGAGACCACCAAGGTGCTCCACTGAACGCCAAAGGACGTCCTTCCTCTCTGTGGCTATCAAACTTTTCAACACAGAGTCGGAGCTTATTTGTCATTCGCACCACATGTGGTACATGTGGTGGAACAAAATTGTGTACACAGGGTCCCAGTTACATCCAACAAAGTATAAAATGTAAAAAGAAAACAGTTTGATATGAACTAAGAAAAACGTTAGTAATAATAATACACTAAGCCCTAATAGCATAAAAACATTACGTCAAACAGCGACACGAGCATGAGTCTGTGTGAGCAGATAAGCATGAATGAACACAGCAACATGAAACAGATCAGCAGCAACATGAAACAGATCAGCAGCAACATGATGTGATTCTTCACAGTGATTATCCTGGTGAGAGATTCATGAGTCTAACAGCTTCAGGGTAAAAGTTGTTCCTCAGCCTGGTGGTTCTAAACTTAATGCTCCTTAACCTCCTTCCTGAGGGGAGCAGGGCAAAAAGTGTATGTGCTGGGTGTGTGGGGTCCTTCATGATGCAGGTGGCCCTCTTCCTGCATCTGGAGGTGTAGATGTCTGTGATTGTGGGGAGACTGACTCCGACATTCTTCTGTGCAGCCTTCACCACTCTCTGCAAAGCTTTTCTTTCTGCAGCTGTGCAGCCTCCATGACACACGTTGATGCTGGAGCACAGGATGCTCTCCACTGCACATCAGTAGAAGGAGGTGAGGACTGAGCTTCCCAGACCAGCTCGTCTCAGCCGTTTGAGGAAGTGGAGTCTCTGATGAGCTTTCTTGATCAGGCTGGTGGTGTTGTTGAGGTTGTCATTCAGGTGCACACCCAAGTACTTGTAGCTGGAGACCACTTCCACCACAGATCCTCTTATGTTCAGGGGGGTTAGGTGTGTTTGTTCCTTCTGAAGTCCACAACCTTCTCCTTCGTCTTCTTCACATTGATGTGAAGGTTATTCTCCTTGCACCAGCTCTCCAGGTGTTCCACCTCCTTCCTGCCTACTCTTCCCCCTTTCTACACATAGGGCAATAAAATGAATCCTGCACAACAATAAACACTTTAATGTTTCTGTCTGCACCTGACCTGTTTTAGAACTTCTTTTTTAAAAATTATTTGTTAATTTTTAATATCTGGTGTGATTCCTTGTGTATGTTCCTTTGTACTGAAACTCTGGCACAACAATTTCCTGTGGGATCAATAATGTTCTATCTTATCTTATCTTCTTATCTTACCGTAGTATTTGTTGTAGCAGCATTATCATCAGCAAGGGTGATGGCACATTTGCAGTTGTAAGCTCTGTGTTCAAATGGACCCATAGTGTTGATAATGATATGTTGTAATGGATCCTCTTGAAACTTGAGGTTGTATTGGGAGGGGGGCACCAGTGGTTTTGTAATACGCTTGACAGATGGTGCATGATGATAGGACTGTGCAGACTAAATTGTTAATATGTGGCCTCCTGTAAAGTTCTGAGGTATTGTTTAGTGCAAACACACCCCAGTGTCCTTCATGAGTGCGGCACACAACCTTGTCTCACAGAAACTTAGGTACTATGAGTCGTGTTCCTTTGAATGTTATTGGAGACTCTGTGGTCGGTTCATGACCTACAAGGAAGTTAGGTTTGATCTCTTCTGCAAAGAGTTTCTTTACTTGAGCCCATCCTGAGTCGATGATTTGTCACCGTTTTCTAAGCATGTTGTCTTTCATTCAACTCTGTGACTCCTTGAGAATTTATTATGAGCGTGTACTTTTCAAATATGTTCTACCATGTTTTAAATTATATAGCAGGCTCACTAGCGTAATGCTAGAACAGTGGTAGACTCGGTACTAAACACTCAACCTCATTTTCAGTTTTGTTTTGGCGGTTGTAATGAATAGGAGACAGGTGGTTAATCTCACAAACTTTAATACATCAAGTGTGGTGTGATGCCAGATGGCACATTCAGCCTGATTCTTGTCTACATTTCCCATTAACACTGGCTCTTTTCCTCTTTGCTGTCATAGCAGTGCCATCTAGTGACAAGAAGTTATAACAGCAACAAAACAGAACATAAATTAATTCACTGTGTAGACCTAAAAACATACAGGGGTTCAAACTCTCAACATCAAACAAGCAAACAAGCAAATCAACAAATTGAAGGTGAATAATCACACATAAGATTCGGTGATTGTAACGGACTTCCTGCGCTACCTAAACAGCCTGTTTCTACTGCCCAGAAATTTTTAAGACTAGCAAAATCTAAAAGATCAGTGCAGAAATATAAGGAGGGGAACTGCATGTGAATGGGTTTGTCTTGCAAATGTGTTGTTACTTTAATTAACACAGTGATTAAACAGTTTTAGAACCACTTATGTCTTTTATTTATAAAACAACATCCAAAGAGTTTAAATTACTTAGTGTTGTCTTTTGATAGATATTTCTTTAGTTTAGAAGCTGTGAATGTGTTCAGATTGTCTTTTTTGCAATTGTATATATAAGTGAGACTTCCAGAAATAAAATGTAAGTAAGTTCTGTAGAGAGAAAATGTGGAGAATGGAAGGGTCTTGTAGAAAATAAGAACATTTTGATTGACAGCTTGACACTTTAATGCATTGAGTGAAGTCAATAGAAAGAATGACACAGAAAAGAGGGGAGGGAGGCAGCAAGAAAGATTGCATTTAAACTTTGAGAAAAGAATGGAAACACACTTATGAGTGTAAATAGCTTTATGACTTCATTCATCCCTGAGTGGTACTGAGAGAGATGCAAAAGACAATTACAACTGAAAAACTTGTATGGATCTTAACCAGCTCAAAAATGTCAATGTCGACACTATTCACACTAAAATGTCTTAAGCTGGTGCAATTTATAATAAAAAGAAAAGAAAAGGCTTTAAATTAATCTGAAAATGTTTGTCTCAATTTGCATTCCCGTTTTATGAACCAGCAAAAAGAAAAGAAATGATACATTAGACTGATGCTTATTAATGTTTCAACTTACCACCAAAGTAGAGCTGACTTCCTGAAGCTGGAGGAAGAGGGAAGCTGGTTTGAGCTGTGGCTCCTTCATCTTTGTCCACCGTGATGCTCAGATGATTTTCTCTGGCGGTCAACTCCACAGAATGCCACTGACCATCATTCAGACCTGAGCCTGTGAGAATGCACACACATATACCGTATTTTTCGATGTATAAGTCACAGCTTTTTACATAAATTAACATGCCCTGCGACTTATACAGTGAAGCGACTTATTTATGTTTTTCCCATATTTATAACCCAATTTTTGGCTGAGATCTGACAATTTTTTTCATTCTGACATGGAAAATATTGAACACTACCATTTACAGCCACTAGAGGATGGTTGAGTAATATGGCATGCCAAGTGTCTCATTAATAGGTAAAAGTGTCTATTAATGAGACACTTGGCTTGCCATACAGAGCCCCCTTCATCTCGCTCCTGTAGCAAATGTAAAATCAGCTGCATTTCACCACCGCCCAGGCGAAATGTAGCTGATTTGATCATTAAAGTGCATTTATTAAGGAAAAGTTAAATGAAACACAGTTTTGTTATAATGTCAAGTAAATAAATAATTGTTTTTAAGTGTTAATCTTGTTAAATTCTTGTTAAAATCCTCTTGTGCACATTCCTGCGGCCGCCATTTGGCAGCCAATCGATATCTGGCACAACACCGGCCCACGTTTCCAGGTGGTCAGTGGTGACGCATAATAGTTGCGACTTAAACAGCGACGCATTTATGTTTTTTTCCACTTTATTAGACATATTTAGACTGATGCGACTTATACGGCGGCAAGTACGGTATGCACAAAACAATTCTAAAAACCTGCAGCACACTGCAAATATTAACTTCAGGTCTGAAGCGGTTATCATTTTTCAACATGAACAGAAGTTATCTTAGACAAGCTGTCTCCCTTTGTGTAAAGACGTCTTTCCAAACTGCAGCACTTAAAGCCATTATAAGTCACCAGAGAGAAAATTCTTTGACATTAACACTGGAAATGTACATGGGGCTATTTTGCCTCAGGTGTTGTCTATCAATCAGAAAGTAGACAGTTCAATCCCCAGCTTCTTGGTGTGTCAAAGTGTATAAATGGACAAGAAACTGAACCCTAAACGTTCCAGATGGCAGGCAAACACTAATTAGTTAGTGGCCGTGACGAAAGACATTGTAAAGACCTTTAAAAACTTCACCAAGGTTAAAAAGTTCTTTAAACCCAAGTTTGGCACATTACAACTTGATTCGTGTGTCACAAACTGAACTATTAGTTTGAAAGATATAGAAATAAATATATGATTTTTTGCTGTTGTTGTTGTTAGATGTCAGAAAAGTGTTAAATAGTTTCTGAACCAGTCCAACCATCGGCTTTTCAACTCAAACTTAATATATTACATTTCATCTCTTCTATCTTAGATTAACGACAAAGTAGCATGCAAAGGCCAAATTAGGTGAAGAACAGTAAATTCACACTTGATTATGAGAGACTAGAAATGCATATACCTGCACTGAGCTCCAGGAGTGACCTATCAGTTTTACTCAATTGGAAACGAAGCCTGGCTTCACTGAGGTACAGAAAAATTGAGCCCTCTTGGTTTTGAAGAGCAAAAGTCAGGATGAGCCCTGCTTTGTTCCACGTCCTGAACTGCAGGGCTACAGAAACGATCCCTGATGACCATGATGTTAGGCCAGGCAGCTGGAGGAAGCTGTTAGAGTCAGTGAACGTCACAGCGACTGAAACAGGCTCAGTACAGGAAAAGGTCATGCTGCCCTGTTGAAGGCAAGGGGAAAATATGGACAGGGAATAATGATTACCAAACAAATGACTTAACATAAATATTCATCAGCTGCAGAGGTTGTCTTGGTTTGACTCGATGTCATGGAGGTCTCATCAGCACCTCTTGAAAAAGGACACCTGTCTTACAGAATTGATATTAGCTTCAATTAAAACCCTGAAACATCAGGGTCACTTAGCTTTAACACCTTCTACACATAACTTAAGTTTTGAATTGCATAATAAGTAAATGTGCAATACAAATTCAGCTTCAAATTTTCAACAAATAAAAAATATTAAATTGTGAGGCCTGCTGGATATGGGCACCAATGACCCCGTGACCTGAAATGGAAAAAGCAAGTAAAGATGATGGATGGAATAGTTGATGTGATATGAATCTGACACAACAAACTATAAATTATAAATATTCATATTTCCCGATTTCTTCTTTCTTACAGCTTCTCTGTTTCTTTTGCTTTGGGCTTTGTAACTCCACAATGTAGATCTGATGACACTACAAATGATAATGAAGTAGACGGAGATCATGCTAACGATGCTGATGCTGCCAACGTGTGTAAAAATGAAGCGCATGATGATGCAGATGATAAAACTGTTTATGATGACATCGAAGATATTCAGGGACCATCAACATAATAAAGACAGACACTGATGCAGAGACAGGGAAGGGAATGAACAATGAAGAGGAGTGACATTCTGAAACAAACAAACAAAAAGAAAGAAAAGAAAAACAAAGTCCTAAACTTCAGGTTTCATTGACAAATAATTTTAGCATTTAAGAGGTCTGGCTAAAATGGTTACATTGGATTAGAGACATTTCACAGTGAGGTGAACTCAGGAGTGCAGCACTGCATGTAAGAGCAATAAAACACTCGAGAGTGAAAATCTCATTAGATGCCTTCAACACGTTTGATTAACAAGCTTTGTTCAAACAGCACAAGAAGCTTGTAAACCTAATTTGAATTGGTACGACAATGAGACATCTTGTTTGAAATTAAAATGATACTGCAAGGAAGCTTTCGCCACATCCCTTAACGTAATGTCCAGTTGTGAGTGTTTGAGCTGTGGCATTTTATCCACACCAGTGGATCTCTGAATGAAACCTTAATGGGAAAATGACTAATGCCTGGATGCCTTTAAGCAATAGTGTTTAGGATCCTGTGCTTCAAAGCTTCAATGAGTTATTATCTCACAACGCAAAGTGTAAAGTGACAACATTTGTGTAGTGATATGAAACAAAACTGAATTGTTCCGTTTACACTAAACATCCATCAAGAATCTTAATTTAAACCAATACAAGCTGCTGAATCTAAAAAGAGAAGCACAAAGTTAAATGTCAAAGTACACACGCTAAATTAAGAAAGTCTGTTCTTAGCTCAGATTATTTAGACCCTAAAGGCATGTTTAGATTAGACTTTTCTCTTTGAGGCAAAATGTCTTTTTTTATTTTTTATCCACATATAAGTTGGAATTCTAGCAGACTGAAAAAGAGTGAACATGTATGGATGACATGAAGTATAATAGATGGCCCAAAGGTCTACAGCATTTTAATTCCAGGCTCTAAATGGCCAAATAAAAAGAGGAATTACTTTTCATAGATACTTTTAGTCCACATTAATATAGCTATTTTTTTTATCATATTATTTTACAAAAACGTGAAAATTCAATTGGTGAAAAGAAAACATGATAATTCACACATCTGGCCATAGACGGTTAGGAAAAAGTAACATTTTGTCTTAAAGGACAACAAAGTATAAATATACAGGATGATAACCTGATGTAACAAATGCATCTCTGCTTATCTGCAGCTCACCGATTTTCTGCGTTCACCCATTTGTCCTTCTGACTATCTTTCAATGGCAGATTATCATAATGATGTGAACAAAAATAATAACTCACCACTGCAGTGACATGTGGGCTGCTCTGTTTGACCAGTTTGATCAGATTGAGGTCATTGTAAAGCAGGTTTTCCATGCAGCCGTGAAAGTTCCTGTTGGGCAGAATGGGTTTCTGCAGTCCGTGGTTCTGGGCAGCTCCAGCACTCAGCTGCACAAGACAAAATAAAACTACTTAGAAAGTTCAAGTCTTTTAACACATACAATGGGTGGTTAACATGAAGAGAAACTACCGGCAGTTTTCTCACCGTATGAATGTGCCAGTGGCTGAGCTCAGCTGGTAGGTGAACTTGCTGTGTGTTTTTATCCACAGTCAGATTGAGGAGAGCGCTGATCCGTTCCAGCTTTACAAAGTGCCAGTGTTGGTCATCGAGCAGACTTCCCAGAGAAACGAGAAGTTTACCACCAGAAGCTGAACTCACATCTGCAACACAGACATTGTGGGTTAGAAGACCAAAACTCTCACGGTGGCACGGTGGCGCATTTGGCAGAAGCGTAATATCTGCAGGGACAAATTCTTGCATGTGCATTTTCTGCCAAACACTTTTTTATCCGTTGTGTAATAACCCTGTCTGTCCGCCTCAAACAGGTTTCTCTTGCATTAACATTAAAAACAACTCTGCAAGAATCAATGATAAAATTGAGATTGGTGACAAAAGAAGTAAAATAAATAAAACAGTGTGAATGCAATATATCTTGTTACAACAGTAATTGGATATAGATTTAAATGGCGTCAAACATCTGTTGAGTTCCTGGCACAAACCAGTGCAGACATGTTCCTGTTTTTAGTTTTCTACACCACATTACAACCTAGCTGGAGTTCTTGTTTTGCTTTTTTTCCTTTTAATTACCATTTTATTTTCACTTGTTAAAGAAATAAATTAAATTTGTACACATCCTTTATGATTGTCTATTGTTGTCTTTGTGGTCCACTGTTGGCATCACGCTTTGTTAAAATCAGGTCTCTCTTGTCAATGAGTCCCCGAGGCTCAACGGGATTAATCTGTATAAAGAAAGGTGGAAATGAACTAGCAAAGGTGGTCCAAGAAAGAAAAACCTGACACTGTGCGTGGCCTGTGATGGTCAACCTATAATGTTTAATAAAAGAGACACTGAATTTCAAAATGCAGAGAAAAAAAAAGATAAAAAGTTAATGCTGAATTAAAAAGAGAGGTGTTGGAGCACCACAGTGCATAGTAATACTTTGCATTGGAGGCTATGGGTCTGCAGACACGAGCTTCAGAGCTTGATCACAAACTTGGTCTCATGAAAATGTAAAACGTCTGATTGTTTTGCATGATTCTATGAATAGGTGAAATAGGTGAGCTAATGGAATGAGCCAACATGCTCCAAGCACATCCATCAAATTCATTGTGGTGAGTTTAAAGCATTTCCCAAAATGTTGAACTTTGTCTCCGACCATTTAACAGTTCACTTTAGCCACATGCTCGGCAACAATCTGTACTATAGCTACCAAAAAAAAAAGAAATCCACAGAATACTTAGGACTAACAGTAAAAGAATTACATCCATTTGTGAAAAGCTCTCTCCCTTCTTTATTCTCTGTCAGACCCCTTTTCTTCCCCTCCTCTTCTTCCTGCTCTTAAAGAAGTCGTGAACATGAATCACACGTTCTGAAGCTTTTATCTTTGTTATCAAATTCAGCAAAACACAGCTGTGTCACTCTGTTAGAACTATGTGATTTAACCACACATCCATCCATATTGTTTGCTCGTGTTTCATTTCTGGGTCGCGGGGCGCTGGCGCTAATCTCCATCACTGTGTGAGAGGCGGGTAGAACCTGGACACGTCGCAAGTCCATCACAGGACCTCACAGAGAAAAATGACAAACAACTACTCACACCTAAGAACAATAGAGTTTTAACAATTAACCCACCATGCATGTTTTTGGTCTGTGGAAGGAAATCAGAGTACCCAGAGAAAACTCACACATGCACAGGGAGAACATGCAAACTCCACCCAGTGAGGCCCCCGGGCAGGAGTTGATCCTGCAGCCTTAGGGATGACTGGGGACAGCTCTGCAGTCTGCACTGCCATGCCACCACTTTACCCAGACATAATATACTAAAATGACTTGTTCTACTGCTGGGCCCAAGAACATGCATCTATTCTATACATCCCCCCTGAGGCAATATCACCTAATAACATTCTGTCTGTTAGTCCTTTATGGGTTTTCACTCAAGCTCAATAAGTGTTTACGAAGGATGACAGTGATAGGTCTTATCAGGGCATATAGGCTTTGGCTTTTATTGTATCAGCTTTCTGGTTTGGTTCCAGTAATCCACTAACGTTTCAAATAAAACTGTAAGGGAGGTGTTCCTTTTTTAAACCAGTTCTTAGCTTTAATCAGACTCGGTTAAAATGTGTAAAATCACCATAAAGTCATGAAATAGAACAATTAATGTTGATGTTCTTATACAAGTTTAGGATTAAATAAAACCATGCATAAACAGTTTAAAGAGAATAATGCAGATAAATGCAAACAAAACTGTAAAAAAGTTCAACTTTGGATTGCAAAGTAGTTGTTAAGCAAATGCACGTTACTCTGAATTTTACATTTAAATTTAAATTGATTATGCTACTTTATAGGATACTGGATATTACCTATAAAACTTCATAGAAACAAATATCTAGTTTTTTTTATAAAATTAGACAAAGGACAAAATTGTGGAAATTATTGAATTCTTAATAAGATGCCATTTTTAAAAAATAGTTGTAATTATATTGTGTGCTGGGTTAGTGAGTGTTTGTATGTGGGTGGGATATATTTAGCCATATTATGTACTTTTTATTTTAATTGCAAAGCATTATATGAAGCGACTTTAAAATAAATAATTAACTTTTTGTTTTCATTTTTACAGTCCATCTCACATTCTATCCAACTGTTCTCACCTTCATCCAAAACACTTTCTCAGTGTGCCATAGATTTCAAATTCATTTTGCATCGCTACAGAGTCATCAGCATACTGTAGAGGACATTTCAGTCAAAGTCATAAATATTTTTACATTAGGCTTTTTTCTTAAACTTGTATGCAGTCGTTTACAAGGAAAAATTCTGGAGGCTTCTTATAAATCACTGAACATAAAGTGGAACAGAGTAGGCAAATGTGTTGCTAATCACCACATTTTATGCTTTTATTTTATTTTATTTGCAAACAAAAACATGATCCAGAGAAATAAATTTGATTTTAACTGCGCTGTATAGATGCCTGTGGGGAAATGAAGCTTTTGTCACTCAGTTAAATGAGCAAAAACTGGATTGAGGTGTTTTTTTCAACTGCAACATATAAATAATCCAGATTTTAAATCTTAACACATAGCCCACATGGCTTTAATAGTGGGAATGCAGAGAAAAGAAAGTCCATTACTTAACATGCAGCTTGTCCTGCACACTTCACTGATGCCATCCCAATTTAGTCAGCAATACTTAACATCATTCGTCACTACAGGCACTGGAGCAGGACGCAGCAGCTCTTAGTGCATCCACTGCTATCCATTACAGCTTCCCAGTTACAGTTCACAATTGAGCTAAATTATGACGCAGCCGGCTACATTATAGTGAGTTGACATTTTGATAAATGTAAGAGGGAAACGAGGTGATTTTGGAACGCGAACATAAATCTTAATGAGCCGGTCAATTTATTCCAACTGCTCAGACAACCACAAGCCGACAGGAAGCCCCCAACTGTCTCACTCTGTTTGTTTCTGTGTCTGCTTGCTCGTTGTGCGTTCGTATGTCTGTGTTTTTACGGAGTCATTAATGTATGCAAATGCGTGTTACTGACAAAAATACATTTTCTCTGGCTGTGTCGTTGATATTTGTGCAGAAGCTTTACATGCTCTGATGAGCATCGTTAGCCATCATTAACTATGTTTAGCTTTACTGCACCTCGGTCAGCCTATTTTCCTCTTGATGTGACTCTTACATCACTTTTAAAGTGAAAACGAGAGATCAGGTTAATAATACAATAAGTAAAAAGACCCTTAGAGATTATTAAACACTTCCCTATGACATTGGGTGTTATCTTTGCTCTGTTAGTTTGACCTCTCTTTTTCTTTCCTGTCATTTTATTTTCTTCTCTTCCCTCCTCTGCCAACAGCTGACTGTGGAGTTGCTGTGGCTCGAGGTGGATGCTTCAAGCTATTGATCTAAACTACACTGTTTCCAAACTCCTGAGAGGCTCATAGGGAGGGAAGGGGAAGTGTTGTGCAGCTGTGGGAGAGAGGAGAAATTGAAAGAGCATGCAATTGAAGAAGGCAAATAACTGCAGCTGAAGATGTAAAAGATGAAAAAGTTCAGCAGGAGCGTAATGGCTTGACAAGAAAGTCTGCGATGAACAACTATGGGGGAAAAGGAGAAAATACACAGTCAGAGCTGTGTTGTGTGTTTGTTGCTTTTCTGATTTAAAGTGTGTTGTCAAATTGTTGTCACTCAGTCTAAACGTTGGCATTTACCTCCACATTCATTTCCACTTTATTCTGTTCAGAAGAAACTTAATAATAAGTCAGTGGGTGAGGGTGCACCCTGGACAAGTTGACTGTTTTATCATATAAAAGATACAAACTTCAAGCCCAAAAAGTCTGCACACTCCAACATTCTGGTTATTACCAACTCAAGGAGCTGATGTGGCTGATGACCTTTGCAGCAGAAGGTTCTCTAAATATGTCATTTTCACGATCTGTGGGGTTTTGTCAAACCCAAGGTGCAGACAGACACGGGGAACTCGAGCATAAAAATAAGAAAACTGTTTATTAAACAAAATGCCTGATGTGGCAGCAAAAAATTATGGTTGATTACAGGAGCTAGGAGACACAGAGGGAAACAGATCATGACGCCTTGAGAAGACAATCCACGGAGAGGGGAACAACAAAGAGACACTGAATATATAGTGACACTAACGAGAGACAGTGACGAGCACCTGGGTGAGTGGGATAGAAGACCGGTGTGACAGGAGCGGGCAACATGAGGGAGAACACTGTAGAGCAGGAAAACACGAGGATTACAAAATACAAATGACGCACAAGGTATCTCAGGTATTCACAAAACAACACAGTTAGGGAAACGCTCTAACCATTACAGTTAAACTATATTCTTGTCTAAAATTCTGTTTGAGGAGTACCAGAGGAAGAGTTGATTTTTTTTAAAGTGTGGCGATGAATGCTATATTACTAAATTTACCACTTTTGAAATTTCACAAGTAAATAGTTTTTTAAGGAAATGTTGACATTTCCATCTGTGTGCTCTTTTCTGGTCAAACGCTGAAAAATAAAACATGTACTTTTTAAAAATAGTTCTTTCCAACAATTATTATGTAATAGGCATTAGAAGTGCTGCTATGAGTCTTTTTATGATTCATGATTTTATGGCCTACAGTAATAAACACAATGCAGCAGGAGCTGGGTTATCCACAAGCTACAATCCATTAGACAATAAATCCTGAACTCCACTGAGAGTTTATTATAATTTGTTGAGGTTTTGGAAGGTAAAGTTCAAAAGTGATGCATGCTAATTATAAGTTAATATTTTGATGAAAAACCTCAGTAGTTGAGGAGCCCATGTATTTCTGAAAGTAAGTGAAATGTACAACTTATCTTAAAAATGTCATCTTAAACTGAGCTAAAAGCAAAAATGTTAAACAGCCATATAAAATGATCCCAGCATGATTTTAAATTAAAGTTAGGGAGAAATAGAGCTGAATGTAACTTTTACTGACAGGAGTGTAGCATGCTCTTCTCCTGCACATCTCACTAACATCTTTAAATTAAGGATCCCAAAATGTACCAGGGCTGTGCTTATATACAGTAGTTAGTTTTTTTTTTTGTTTTTCTGAGAGTTAGTTGTGGCTTCAAACACACCAGTGAGTCAACTTAAGCACAGAATATGCTACTTATTAAATAAAAAAAATAAAAGTTTATGACTTGTTTATTTTACATCGAAATATTATAAATCTTTTGTGTTGGGACCTAAAAGCTGTTCTGATAAGTACTTAGCTAATAAACCTTACTGTGCAATGTATTCATAACTGTTAATTATATCAAACTTTAATCCAATATGCTACAGTTTCATATTGAAACCTAAAATAAAAGTAAAAATGACAACAAACACAAAAAGCTGAAAAATCCCCAGATGGATCACTGATAGTTTGGTTGTGTGGTGATCGTGCGACATCCTGAGGATCAATCGATCCCTCAGATTTAACCTGGTTCACACACACACAAACATTTCCTACAATATTCTCATCCGTGCTCCGTTCTGTGTAGATAGAAGCTATGAATCATATTATGATGTGCTGGCCCACTGTGCTCTGCAGATTTTATCTTTTACACATATTGGTAGCATTCATCACAGATAAAAAAGAAAGAAAAGAAAATTGAGAAAGGATGTTGTGCAGTGAGAAAAATCATGAAAAAAAAAACTATAGATGGAGAAAAAATTTAAAAAATGACAAAAAAATCAGAGGGAAAAATAAAAAAAACAACAAAAATCCCAACAAATGACTTTTTTTTCATAATTTTAAAAGTTTGACTCAAAGATAAGCAGACTTCCTTTCTTGTCTCTCAAAAAGTTTTATCTTTGATCTGAAAGGTTTCTTGAGTTCAGATTATGAAACTTTAGTTTCAGACTTCTAAGTTATACAGTAGTCCCTCGCTACTTCAAGGTTCGTTTTTCGTGGACTCGCTCTATTGCGGTTTTGTTCTGTACATGTACATAATATTTTCCACACAAAAGAAGCACCACTATTTTGTAGATTTCTTTCATTAAGCTTTCACTGTTTTAACAGTCTAAAGAACTACGTTACCCAGAAGCCATCAGTTCACTTCCCAGAAGCCAACACTGCTCTTTCAACCACTGCTTGCTGCAAATGGAGGGAAAGTTTTGCAGCAAAGTCAAAAGTTCTTTAAGTTCTGTTGCTCGCAGAACTGGCAGGAAAGTCACAAATAATTCTGAAGCTGAACTCATCCTTCACGTTGTTTCTTCAGTGGTGAGAAGCTGGACTGCAGCTGATCCAGAATCAGTGTGACCCAGATCCTGGGAGCTGCAGACGACAGACAGCTGTGCGGTGCTGGTCTGGACCAGGCCAGAGGTGGTGGATTAAATCCTGGGCAGCAGCACGTGCACATCAAGCTGGATGGAGCGGTGAACTTCAGTTGAGACTTTTTTCACCTATCGGGTCGGACTGCAACCGAGCCGCTCCTGTACTGCAGAGCCTGTTATGTGAAAATGTGTAGCTCTATACTGTAATTTCTTAAAATTAGTAGGTTTAAGAGTTTAGAGGACTGATTTGTGGGTTTCACTGCTGCAGAATAGGTCTGCAGAAATGAACCGAATCGAAATAAACAGAGTTGGACCAGAACCAGAGCTGCTGCTGTTCTGCAGAGCCAGTAAGTAAAATTTAGTAACATATGTTGTTAAAATGGCGCAGGTTTAGAACGTTCCAAGAGTGTGGGAAGGGTTTCTAAAGCCTTTTAATATAAAGTTTACATACTTGAACTTGGACTACTGTATCCCTACTTCACGGTTTTTCACTTATCGCGGAGCTTCAGGGTACAGATCCCCTGCAATAAACCAGGGACTGCGGTAGTTGGAACAGTAAAACTAGTACAGGGTCTTAAAAAGTAATTAAGAAAATGTCCAATTCATGATTAGAACTAAAGAAGCCGTTTAGATGAGACACAATGCTTTTAGCAGACAAGAAAACCCATTCAGATACCATAAAGTAAAAGAGAAAGAACTGCTACATCATAGGTCTTTGACAATCTATACCAACAAACCACCACCACTCTCACAACTATTTCACAGCCATTGCATTAACCTGTAACTTCACTCCTTCTTAAATCCCTAAAGCACGTCAGAATCTGATTTGTTTTCTCCAAACCACTGCTTGAAAAACATGAATAAGTAACCACCAGAATGAGCTTGATGACAATTAAGAGGGGGAAAAGCACAATTCTCCCGAGTCCCTTCAAAATTGGATCAGCTTCTTTTTTTTAAATCACATTTGACAAACAGCGTATCAGCAGATTGATATGAACCCACTTGGAGATCACTCCTTTTTATTGAAAGAACAAACGGTGCTAGATATTAAACTCCATCTGTGAATATGAGATCTGAGTGAATAATTATGCTGCACAGTTTAGGCATTTAGCTGACATTTACTCAGTTATGAACAATGGATGACGAATGACTGAACACATAGACAGAACCAAAATAAACTACAAAACTAAATTAAGTCAAATATTCCAAGTTTTAGCAAAGGTACATCAGATGATTTTAATCTTTGACAAAAGAAAGTCACTATTGCTATTTTTTACTCATAAACAGGCAAATCTGCTTTTCCAGCACCTGTCCAGTTAAAATACTCACCTCTGTGATTTTGCACTAATTAGAGCAGGTCAAATTATCTTTGTCAATTGTAGCTTGTTTTCAGAGTGGACCACAACAACCAGTAATCAATAATAGGATTGTCAGGCGGGAAGGTCAACGTTTTACCTTGCTGGTGATAAAGGAGCAGCTTTCCTTTCTCCAGCACCAGATTTAAGCTGTGATCTCTTTGTCCCTTTGCATGCAGCAGCGTCCCTGAATTCTGGAGGGTTTTAAACTTCAGAGAGATGATCTCCACGGCCATCCAGCTCGTTCTGACGCTCAGTCTGTAGACAAAGCTGCTGCTGCCATCAAAGCTCGACACATCGGAGACTGCACAATAGAAGAAATAGGGGAAAAGTTGTGTTCTGTGCGTCACTCTTCAGTTTTAAATCACCGTTTGTCCTACAAAGTTTATATGAAATTCATAGTTTACAGCAGTCTCTTGTTTGTCGCCGGGGAGCCGTACCCTGAAGACCCGCGATGAGTGAAAAATCGCGAAGCAGGAACAGTAGTACAAGTAGTAAGTAGTTTATTTAGTATATATATATATATATATAT